AATGCCGTACGATGTTGAGACCTTGAAATGGTAGCAATGAACTTGGTATGTAAAGAAAATCTTTGTGCAAGACCATGCTAACTTTGAAATGAAAGGGTCTGGTCTGGCATAAAAAGACAACGAAGAACAGATGAAGAATGAAGAGACCAACAAACACCAGCTGTACCTCCCACCACCCTCACAAGTGGTGTCTAAACATTAACTTGTAGCATTTGGAGAATGTTAGCAGTGAAGACTGTGCAAGTCTGGTGGTTTGTTTTTACACTCTCCAGCAACAGTGTCATCCCATTAGACAGCTAACTTTCTAACAGAGTGGACTGTTAGAAGGAGTGAACTGACACAAAAGCATGAGAATGGACTCCAAATCCTAGCATCTTATAGTGGATATAAAATATCAGCAAGAGCACATTTTGCTTGTGATTATCTTTATCAAGAGGCATTTCCTCTTGGTAAAAAACCTCTCTCAGCACTTTCAAATTTCATGCCATATGCTTAATGAACCAGGGAACCTTCCTGCAAAATGGGTTCTGCCTCAACAGGTTGCTTGTTACCAGATGAGTTTTTTCTGTTGGGTATTTTTATCAGTTCTGCAGGCCAGGGGCACCTTGTCCCAGTCTAGACAAAGAAGGTGAACAATCCAGTGGTCAATCTGCCTATTCTGAGCCAGAAATGGGAGGGGAATACTGCAATATTATTTCATGGCCAAAAAACCAGGAGCAAAATCATAACAACAAGATATTTCCAAGTAGAAAAGTTCAGGCTGAGCTGACTCCTCAGATTCCACTCTAGATCCAGGACCAAAGAATAATATTTAAGAAACAAACACTGAAAAGGCCAAATAAACTCCCACATTGCAACTGTCTCCCCAGAATACCATCTGATTACTAGAAACATTTGTAGGCATAGGCATAACACTGTCATTTCAAGGATTGCAGAAGTTCCTTCTATTTGCCCAAACTTGTCAAACTTCCTGGAGCTCTAAGTCCACTTTAAAGAAAAACCTGAGTGGCTTCAGAGCCCGGAGGGCTGGCCATTGCTTACTTATAGCTTTCTGCTTGTTACCAAGGTTGCCACAGATTTAAATCAAGTCCTAAGTGACCTCTCAAACAAACAGCAAGACCAAGCCTATACAAGATCTTGACCCTTCTTTAAAAATGATCCAGTCCCCTTGAAGTCACCTCTTCCTTGGCAAGATGAAAGCCACAGCATTGTGTTGTGTGTGAACAATCCTGGCAGCACATGCACTTCCCCTGGAGTCCTGCCTGGGACAGCCGGCTGTGCTCTTCATACGACTGATGTTTAGCATATGAGATTTCTCAAGGCCTCCTTCCATCTTGCTGCAAAAGCAGCTTGCACACTGGACTATTCTAGTTTTGCTTTTTGTTGATGCTGCTCTGGACCAACATTTAAGCAGAAATATTCTTGGGCATCCCCCATCCTGCACAGGCAGGATGCTCATCCTCCTGGAAACACACACGAGTGAACTCTGAAAGCCAAAGACAGGTTCAGTAAGACCCGAATGACTTGTATTAGTCAGCAGG